GTAAAATATATAATTGCAAAACATTTAATATCTAGCTATATAGGGTATAAACTACACTACAAAATTTGTGAGTATGCTAATAAAATACAAGAGGTTTATAATGTATTTATAAAATAAAAAGTATAAAAAAGTATATAAAATATAAAGATTGATAACATTATATTGTTTTAAATACTTCACGCAAAACCTAAGGTGATACCCGGCTTATAGTATACCTATGCAAAAAGGCACTTATTAAACTTGGAGTAGTGAAACGAAGACGGACTTTGGACTGTTCGGTCTCGCGTATTTTATACATGGCGCTTTTAGGATTAAACTTATAAATGCTTCTACGTCACCCAGTTAACAGATTGTCCGGGGCAATAAATATTTAATTTAAGTGTTAAAGTAAATGTAAAATACTAAAATAGCAATAATATGAAAACAAACTTACGCGTAAACATCGACTCTTCCGGTGAAATCTAGCTAGAGTGCCGCCGTCGCCGAAAAAAACGGCTATCTTCATCCATCATCATCTTGCTCAGAACTGAAACTTGAAAGTATCGAAATATTTAATGAAAATAATCTGACCATAACGAAATGTGTGAATTTGTGCTAACAAACTGTCCGTATATATTGATCGCTTATTATTTTTTTGTTCACTGAAATTATTAGAATTGTTAATCGTCGCCGACGGGCGACGAATGTCGACAATAATTGACGATAGCCATAGATATTATTATAAAATATATAATTTACTAAGATAAATCCATAGAACTTATATACTATACTCAGTACCTAATCGGTCTTTGTTAAATCGTACGTACTTTTACAGAAATTTTTGTGATCAGTAATGTACTTATTCTGGTTTTATATTTCATTCGTAGTTCTCATGCCAAATTTAACTATCCGAAACTGGTCCGCAAATGTATAGACATTCTATTAAATTACAATTTGAATTATTATAAGTGTCCTTTGTGGTACTTGCCAAAAACTTGACTATACCGGGATTTAAATTTAAAAAAAAATGTGATTTAGGTAACCTATTGGCTATTGATCTATTATAAAATAGAAACTGAACCTACCAATAATATCACTATATAAAATAATTAAATGTGATCATTTGAAGACAATTTCTTAAAACCTCTAAAATATTCTTTAATTTAGTGTTATAAATTTATAATCTAGTTAAGCGCTCAAGCAAATTTTTCAATTTTTTTTTTTTTCGGTAACCCATGTGTTGCGACCAGTTAAGATGTATATCTATGATGCAAAAATTAACTGCCGAAAATTATTAGTTTTTAGGGTAAAGCTTTACGAAGTCACGATTTTCGGTGTTTTAAGTGCTTGTAAAAATTTTGTTTTTTTAAAAAGAAAATCACCATCATTATTTATTTTTGTATAGGTACCTAAAATATAAAAAATATTATATTATACATAGACTTCAGGGCCCCGCATACATTGAATGTGTCCGGGGTCCCAAGAATTGAAGAATCCTAGTTGCGGCACTGGTAGGTACCATCTATTAACTATTAAGTAGATATTACATGTATTTTTACTGCTATTAATTATTATTATATTTTGTAATATTCGAAAGTAGAAAGTTATTAGTTATGACAAATCGATTTTCTTTTATAAATAGTATGTTTATTATTATTTATATTTGTTTCTTAATAATTAATAAAAGAACTCTTTTATAGTGAAAATTGATCATCATATTACTTGACCAAGGAGAAACAAAGTACATTTATACGTATCTATATATATAATCACCCTCAATTGCGTGTTTAAATGTCACGTTTTTTATAAAATATAATAGGTACTGTTTCCTCTAGTAATACTCGTTTTTACCTACAGCTTTTTCCACAGCGGTTATACAGCGCATAGTTGTCACCGGTGATATAACCGCTGTGGAAAAAGCTGTAGGTAAAAACGAGTATTACTAGAGGAAACGGGAACGACCACGACGTGGCGCAAGCCCCGGAAAAGAGCCGAAGTCGGTGCCGATGCACGAAACGGTTCAACAAACGAGAGGACAAAAAAAATGTCTGCCCGGCGGACTCCAAAAAAAGGCGAGCCTAAACGGAGGATTTGTTCAAAGTGTCCGGCGAACAAAACGGCGTCTAGCTGGACACAAAAGAGCTGTGAACTCAGGACAAAAGCTCACCTTGGCGTATTACACAGGCGTAATAAAGGCGAGAGGGGAGGGATCCAAGGCTGCAGCGACGTTTAAAACTGTGGAATTAATAGCCAATGATCTGCAGTAACTGACAGAGGTTACTTCTGCCCTGCGGTCAGAATTCTAGCCCTGGATCAAAAGAAGTGTTTATGTAAAAAGATGATACCTACGGGCTACGAACCTCTCACAAAACTGAACATAATCTATGTTCGGTCTATGTCGGGAACACCGCAACAAAACATTCGCAGTGCAAAGGACTTCGGCCGACTCCACAGTGTGCGACGACTAGGTCGGACAGCGCTTACTATCACGTCCGTTGCTGCAGTATCTCCACATCCACCTTTGGTAACCATGATGTCCTGTAAACCTGAACCGGTCGTCTCGTGCTCCAGCGGTTTTGCCGACTCGGCATCACCGATTAATTGTGTTTCTGAAGTGTTCGGTATCGAACTCAAATGCTGGGCGTCGAAATCGAGTGGCAGAACATGTGTCAAAGTCGACGTGAAGGGTAACAGGGAGTCGAAGTCGCTAGCTCTTACAGCAGCAGGTCTCAATTCTTCACTGTTAGTCGATGATTCGGCCGATGGCGAATCCGTCAAAACTTGCATCTCGGTGATGGAAGCGACGGACGGAATCGCTTCTGGTGCATCGCCCATGGACTTTGTTTCGAATGCCATGTTTGGCATCGATTTGCTTCGCCTTTGAAAACTCTTGATATCGTCGATTTTCAGGGTTATCGGACGATTTTCAAGCAGATCTCTAAATACTTGCGTCATTGAAGCGGTTTCGGACAGAGGGGATTCAAAAGCGGAAATCGACTGCAGCGAAATGTTTGGCAACGATGCGTATCGCCTATGAAGCTTCAAACTGGTGACCACACTCTCTTCCAACACTTTAGACCGATTTTCCCAGAGGTCTTCAAAAACCTGGATCATTATTTCTGTGGCGGACTGTTTATTAACATCGGACGAACTCTTCACGGCTTCGTTAGTCGACATAATGTTGATCTGATGTTTATATATTATACAAAACTAAGGTACGTAATAAGTCTTGCACTGTATTATAATTAATGTTCGTTGTAACAAATATAGGTACTGATAGAACAGACTGATATACAATTAATACGAATTATAAAACAGCTTCAGTGTAAATAATATTAAAAACCGTGATACTATCATAGATATATAATAGTACACTTTAGAAGTTTCAAGTACCCACGAATAATATTATTCAATCACAACAAAATAACTAAAATAGTTATTCTAGGTTTTTTAATATGTAATTTCGTCCAAATTTGAATTTAAAATGTCTGTAAAAAATAACTGTGTTTATATATTTTTTAGATTTTTTGGTTACAGTATGAACTATTTATGAGAACCTTTGTTTTAAATTTGCAATCCTTAGCTATAAAAACTGAACATTTTATAATTTATTAATTACAATGATTGATAATTTTCGAGATTTTGATAAATTTTGTCACAAATTAGATCTTTAAATGCTTATAAAAAAAAATTGTGCCTATGTATTTTTAATATTTTTCAATTGCTATTGTAAAAATATATCAGGAGCCTTCTATTAAATTTTTACACTTTTTGGCCTAACAGATAAAACTTAATTGATATTTATAGAAAAAAAAACTAAAAAAATTGAAAATTGAAAATGTCCGTAAACAGCTCAAAAAGAGTCAAAATATTTTCAAAATTGTATGGTGTATAAGAAATGCTAATTTAAACATTCGGTGAAATTTTCATGTATCTACAGTTATTCGTTTTTGAATTACAACAAAATAAGGAAATCGCTACATAAGAAATCGAGTGATATCCAATGTTGTAAAAATTTGAATTTCAAACGCTCATAAAAATTTAATTTGACTTTCTTATAAACATTTTTTTTTTGATATAGGTAGATAATTTTATAAGGAATCTTGTATTACATTTTCAAATCTTAAATTTAACTCAAAATAATTTGCTAATTTTCGTGATTTTTCCATATTTTGTCAATTTTTGAACTTTAAATGCTTATAAAAAAAATTGTGACTAAGGATTTTTAATATTTTTCATCTGCCTTTGAAACAATATACTATGAGCCTTCTATTAAATTTTCAACTTTTCGCAACCAACAAATAAAATTTTATTGATATTTTTAGAAAAAAAACTAAAAAAAGATGGAAAATGAAAATGTCCCTAAACAGTTTAAAATAAATCAAAATATTTTGAAAATGTTATCGTGTAAGTATACTAAATTCAAACAGTCAAAACTCAAAACAGTCGAACTCAAGTAGACATGACGATAAATTCAAATCTGTTTTTAGAATTCATATCGCTTCACTCTGTTGTTGTTATAGATCAATCGGTACGATGGAATGAAAACACGTTTAAATAATAGGTTCCACGTGTGTCAGATAATGACAGCAAATCACCGCTTCTAAAAATCTTCTAAAAAGTTTAAAGTAGTGATCATTGCGAGCGTGGCGCAGCCTGTGGCAGTTTAATCGTACAACTCGTTTCGGGATGTTTTCAGAAGTGGAGTTTGGTCTCCTTATTCTATAGTAATCTAGTCTTCATCGTTAATGGCATCAGTCGTATTGTAACACATGATAATGAATACTTATCAGTGATCATTATAAAAACATTTTTTTATTTTTATACCTAATACAATAATCTTAACTTCAACAATAAACCATTTTCCGATAAAATAATGCTCAACTAGGACATTTGGTAATAGCCAAAAGGAGGTGTATTATTATCACCTTAATACTGAACACAACGCTGTAACCTTCATTGTCTGAATTGCACGTCTTGGTGGTTTTGTATCCAAAGTAATAAGTACCTATTCGAAAATAATGGCTTCAAAAGTGATTTCGGTGTACGAAAATACACAAAAGCTGGGCGCAGAACTGGCCAAAAATCTCTCGGAACTTGCTAATGATGTACTGGCTGAAGGAGGAAATGCTGTTTTTAAAATTGGACTTTCTGGTATAACTATTTGTGTATTATTTTAACTGTACGGGAAATGCATGAGATTGCCACAATAAATGTTTTAAGGTGGATCGGTCGTGTCGCTGTTATCCGAATATTTAGCCAAAGTTGAAACAGATTGGTCCAAGTGGAGATTTTTTTTTTGCGACGAAAGACTGGTGGATTTTAGTGATCCGGAGTCTACATTTGCTCAATATAGAGACAAATTTATCTGTAACCTTCCCATCAGTGAAGAACAATTCATTAAAATAAATCCTCAACTTTCTGGTAAACACCAAGTGAATGTTCTGCATGTGTTGATTAATTATTTGTACGAATAAATTGTTGGATTTTGTATTGCAGTTGACGAGGCAGCTAAAGATTACATCCAAAAGATATCAGTATATTTTGCACCCTACGATTTGCCTCGGTTTGACGCATTGATATTGGGTGTTGGTCCTGATGGACATACATGTTCTTTGTTCCCTGGACACAAATTATGTGAAGAAACATCAGTATGGGTAGCTCCAATTTCTGATTCACCAAAGCCTCCTTCAAACAGAATAACTTTTACATTTCCAATCCTCAACAATGCCAGATACTGTGCGTTTATAGCAACCGGGAGCTCAAAAGCTGATATTTTGAAGGTATAATTGAGAATGTAAATTTCACAAATACTAAGATCATTACATTGTATTATTTTTTGTTATATATTAGCGCATTCTTAAAGACGGTGAACAATTACCAGCCAATTGTGTACAGCCAATAAATGGTAGTGTACAATGGTTATTAGATGAAGCTGCAGCCAAGCTATTACAAGAAGAAACATCTCTGTAAATTATTTATGTTATTTTAAACAAGGTATTGGTTAAGAATGGAAATTATTTATTTTTTAAATTTTGGTGTCTGATAAATTTTATCCTGATAAAATGTATACTCTATTTGTATTTATTTTATGTTATGTGTAAAAGAAAACATCTATCAAGAAGTAAATGATTTATAAGTTATAACTACTAAAAATGTTTTATTTAGTGTAAAAAGCTTTTCATAATTTTTTCTTTTTACTTTTGACCTTTATTATAAAATTACTAAGGTCATTGAAAATCATAACCATAATAAGTTTAACTCATCCAGTCCATCTTGGCACTCAGCAACTGATATGGTTTTAAAAAAAAAAACTGGTCTGAAAACTAGTTTTTTTTATAATCGTAACGGTTGCCGAATGCCGAATAAACTAGACATCAGAATTTTAACCAAATAGTTTGTTTCATTGATGTCATGACTTCACATACGCAGAATTAGACTTCAGTTTAAGTGGATGCTCCCAACTAAAATATAGATTTAGAAGGTTTATTTTAAAGATTTCAATACTTTTGTGTATTTACACAATGTATTGTCTTATTTGTTTGTATTAAGTTAGTAATATATTATAGTAAGATATTATTTCCATAAGCAAAATGTTATATTAGGAATTCATACATTTTAAAGAAATATTTTAGATTTTTTAAATGTATAGTACCTAAAGAACTATTTTTTTATAACAATCCATATTTTGACAAAAAATTTTAAAAATATTTTAATATACAATTTCTTGGTAATTTTGTAGGTCATATAATTATTTGCAAAAACTAATTACATTATATTATTACTGGGTTTATCATTATTTAATTATGGCAGCCGATGGATACTGTTGACCGGCATTTACTCAAACATGCATACTGCATAGGTACCTACCTCAGTATATTAATTCATTGTTTAAATTAAATATCAACTCCACACACATAATAACTAAACAATTTTTAATTTGTTCATAATTTAACTATGTATTAGTTAAATTAAATATAAAGTAATAATAATATTTTTCCCTATTCGAAACATATTTTTACAGATGTTTATTGTTCAGGGGGTGCTAAAGTATAACCGACACACATAGCTCATATGTGAAATTATATGGAACTCCAAAAAGTAAACACAAGTATAAGATAGTTATAATTATTATAATATTTATTGAAAAATTCTAACAAGTCTATACGCTAAGTTTTAAATTTATATTGTAAAAAAGAAATAGTGAGATTTTAAAGCCATTGTATATTATTTTAATTTTATAAATATTCAACTTAAATTTTATAAAACAAATAAATCTTATCATCTTAATTAAATTATAAAGCACTTTTCTTTAATAATTATATATTGAGTATAAGAAATCATACTAAGACTTACATGGACCACCAGAGAAATATTAATAGCATAGAGCAAATACTGATTAATGCAATATTTAAGATTTAAATAAGACTTGCTTATGTAAACTACATTATAAATAAATTGTATATAATTATAATTCACAGATGTCAATGTTTAGGAAAGGTAATATTAGCATATTATACAATATTTTGCCTATAAATGAAATTATTTGTGATAATAATTCTAATTTTAGCAAACATTAATCTTTAATAATATATAAACCATAATCAGTCTTATCTATACATATTTGTAACATAAAAATATTATGTTCTGTCATATTATAATATGTTAAGTAATTAATTTTATCAACTAAAATATAAAGAAAACTTAAATTTATAAATGTATTATAGATATAAAATAAATTGGAGCTTATGCCTAATAGATTCTAGTCGTATTTATATGAATTTAAGTATTAAAAATAATGATTTCATAATCTATTAAATAGATAGATAATAAATAAACTATAATTTGTATAACACTTAAAATAATTATTTAAAAACTTCTTCATAATTATTATAAATGTATATGATAATGGAATGATATACATATATTATGAATAATGTATATTACATTTTAATTTTTAACTAAGATGATAAATAGTTTTCACATTATTATAAATGAAATATTTTAAATGCTTCAATTTCAACAGCACATAAATAAATAAATTATTAGAAAAAATAGTATGTAAATAATTTAAGCAAACATTTTTTTTTTTTTTTTTTTGACACATTGCTCAATAATTGGTTAATAAATTAATTTAATTTGAGCACCGTATATATTATTGAGTTAAAACTAAAAAAATATGTACACCATAAAATATCATCAAAATGAAGAGTAAAAATTATTGATAAAAAGAACCAATAAGATAAATCTTGTTTACAAAATTGAAAAACATTTATTTTTGAACAAAGAGAACAAAAAAAGTTTTACAAACAACAATATTTTACAAAACAAAAGTGTCACGCATGACTAGGAACAAACTTAAACAATTTTTTTGAAAAAAAAAAAAGTATAATTTTTAAGAGGTTGAGTTAAAATCAGTTAAATTGTTGATAAAGAAGATTAGGTTAAAAATTACAATACATTTATTAACCTTGAGAATATTCTTTTAATATGATGACCAATTCTAAATGTATAGCAGGCAAGTCAAAGAATTTAAAGACAATAATATTTAATCTCTTTAATTGGATTTCATAATAAACCTATTTAATTTATCTTGGAAAAATTATGTTGCATCTGGAATGTTGGTAGAAAAAGCATTCATTTTAGAGACAAAAAAATTAAGAAAAGTTTACAAGAATCTATTACATTATGTTGAGCCTAAATTTGATTGGTAACAATATCAAGATGTATTTTAAAAACAAGCATTGTGTGATATATAATTACATATTAGAATAATTATTAATTATAATATAAATATTATTTATGTTAGCATTCAACATGATCTCAACATAGTTAATAATCAAACTTAATATTTTTTCTATCCTTATGGCTATGGTAACCATTACTGTAATGTATAATTTCTACCCTTTCAGATCACTTTTCTTCAAGACATATTGCCCAACATTTAACCACCAATAAATGTTTGTAAAATTTAAGATTATATTTTAAAAATACGAAGGAGAATAATTATTGAATGTCAAGAGATAAATAAATATGAAGAAGTTCAAATAACTTATGTTACGACATAGTAACCCCAAGTGCTTCACGACATCGTTCATAAACGACATAACTTATACTAACAGCAGGTGCTACTTTCATAAAATTTGGAGTTATGCCTCTATACAAGCCAACCATACCTTCTTTTACCCAAATTTCTCTAAATACTGACATCATTGTCCTTGTATCGGGACCTTCTAAATCTGAAACAATAATAGACCAATTACCTATTGATGAAATAATAAACAATATAAAAGTAATTACTTACAAGGTGCCTGGAGACGCGTACGGACAAGAGCTAAAGGGTATGAACACACTTGGCCACAAGTACTAGAAACAGTTCCACAAGCTAATAATAATGGCATTCCAGGTTTTTCACCATTATTATGTGAAGCAATATAGTTATTTTTTAATGTCTATAAAATAAAAATATGTCTGTATAAATAATTTATAATATTTAATAAATAGAACATGATTGGTAAAATAATACAGTTTTAATGAATAATTTGACTACCTAACTTGTATTAATCGAAATAAGAATTCAAAACATCTACAAATATTGTATAACAACCAACAGTGGCTTGGCAAAATTGATATTTTTAAGAAGAAAGTCTAATATTCCATAAAAATACCTAGTAAAGGACTTTACTGTCATATTTTTAACTACATGTTGTGACAAATACTAAAATACTAGTTAATCAAAAATGTTATCCATTGGCAATCCACCACCCCTAACAGAGGTAGCTGCCTCACAATTACCCCTTTTGTCACATCACTGCTAACCATAATTTATTGTAAGTTATAAACAGTTAAGAATAATAATTCAACAAATTTATAGTGAGGAAATAATAAAATATATTATTACTAATTTGCAGTTATTTTGTTTATATAAAATGCATTTCAAACAAAATTTGAAACAATATTATTTCATTAATAAAATAAATTAGGTATACTTTGATTAGGAAAATATTTAAAAAAATTAGAAATATAGTATTATAAATTAATTAACATAATATGAAAATTTAATTATTGTTAAAATATTATAATATTATAGAAGCTTTTTTAGATTACTGATATATAATTATTAATTAATAATATTATCTCAAACTTAATAGTCTAAAGGATATCGGAGTACTATTTGTTTAATGCTTATGGCCCATATGCAATGCAACTTGGCAAATTTTGCGTTCATAAGAATCAATTTTGAATGGTGAAGTCTTAAAGCTAAATAATTATCTGTGTTTGTATGTTGATTTTTTTACAATAAATAATTTTGCCTATGATGTGAGCATTTTTAAAGTGTAATATTTTACAAACCTACAACTCGCATAAAAATTGAAATATGGTAAAAAAAAAACAATGCTCAAACATAAGTTTGATGATAGATCACTCTAAAATCAAAGCAAAATTGGTTCTGCAGAATAAATATTTTTTGTTGCTCGTAAGTCAGAGAGAAAAAACAGTTAATGCTCCGACATCCTCTTGAATGTACCTGCTTAATACAAAGTTATATACTAAGTGATCTATTTTAGTCTCAACACTCCTTATTTCAAAAGCTTACATTTTTAGACATAAATGTTTGCCTACAAAACAACATTATATCATGAACATTTTTAAAGTTTTTTAAATATTTTAATACATAAATAATAAATTGTATTATAAAATATTGTTTTCCAATGAAAACAAAATATATAAAAATGAAATTTTTAAAAAAGTAATGAGTGTGAACACTTAGACGGATCACGTTGTGAACTTGAAAATAATTACCTCATAAACTGCAAGGTCAATACCAGCGTACGGAAGTATACCTAAAAGATTGGGTACATAACCCCTGTAAAAACTCCGTATACCTTCACGGTAATACATTTTTTGGATACAATCAAATATACCTTTGTATTGATTACTTTTTCTAATGGCTAATCTTGTTTTTAAAACCTAAAATAAAAAAGACATAAATATAATTCTAATTATAAAATATAAAAGTAACATACTTCTAAGGGATAAATTAATGATTGACTAAAACCTCCTGCAAGTGATCCTGCCATAAATCTTTCAAATATTGTTAAGTCTTTAGTTCTCGAACCTCTAATAAGGCGCTTAGCTTGTTCATAAGCCATAAATTTAAACGCAGACTCTGGAGCTATCTTGAGTACATTAATACCATTTCCACGCCACATGCCTCGTTTGCCACCTTCTTTTAACATGCTTTTGAAACATGTTGTTATATTGCTATGTTGATTTCCGTATACCTAAGAAACATTTTAAGCTATTTTTATAGTTAAGTAATAATTTTCATAATAATCATTTCAAAGATACTAAATAACATTACTTTGTATCTATTTAAATTCAAGTGAATTGAAGAAGTATTGTTTTGCTTAAAATATTATAAGATATGTAATAATAATATATAGCAATTTGGATTAAACTATAGATTATTTTTGTATCAATTAAATGAGTTAACATTGTCTTACTTGTAAAAATACTTTAAGCCTATCTAAAGGCGCAGTAAAAGTTCTTGAGACAGCGCCAGCTACACCACCAGATACAAGATGCCGCCACCACATCCCTGTTATCATCTCAGCTTGGGTGAAATCATCTGGCACATTCATGTCCTCCCCAATGTCTATACACTAAAAATACAATTTTAGCAATCATTTTTATATCTTGCAGTATTTACAATAAATACACTTTTTTTCAGAATACAGTCTATATACAATATAAATCTGATTAGCGATACAGGTATAATTCAAAACTGTTATGAAATTATGACTTTTGAGGGGAATTATTTTATTCGATCTTATTATTTTTACTATAATCAATAAACCTATATCATTATATTATGATTGAATAATAATTAAGTTTAAATCATTCATTTTATTAAAACTGAATAATAATAGGTAGATTATACGAATGTGTAATAGATTTTTTTTACAAAAATTCAGTAAGAATTATATCACATTGGAATTTTCCCGAATTACTTAGGAATATTGGTTATTTCTTAATTATATTTTATTAATAGTGTCAAACAAAAAAACGGTTTTGACCTTGGGTTAAGTGAGCTCAACCTACAGATACCTGCCAAGTGCATAGTACATTATTAGCAATATATTAAAATCTTGTTTAAATTAGTTTTATTAAATCAGTTTCAGTATTTATTTACAAAACTAATTAATATAATTCATTTTTTTTTAATATCAACATCATAAAATATAATTAAAAAAATTAAATATACAATTTTTTTTAAAAATGTTAAATGTTAAAACAATAGGATTGGTTAGCAACACATTATAACTTATATTAGTTAGTTATTCATAATTTTAAAAATTAATATACAGTAATATTATACTTTATCATGAAAATTATTAAGCTAAAAAGTAGGTAATAATAAGATGTATTAATTTATCTTTTACAGCTGATAAGATTAAAAGCAATTAAATAAACAAGGAAGAGTTCTTGATAAAATTGCATATTTAAACATTAGACCAAAGTCCCAAGAAACTATTTAACTATAAAGCTATTAACAATGCATTACAATATTTTTATTTAAAATTATGTGCGTAAATAAGATTAATTTATATCATTACGAAAAATATTTAAAATTTTTTTGTTTATTTAGTAAAAAATAATTTCAATGAAATAATTCATAAATATAACTATACTTTATCATTGTATTTTAAAAATAAAAATAAAATAACTATTAAGGTTATATCTAATAAAAAAGTATAAGTTACTTTTAACTTTTAAGTTGACTATATATTAATTTTTGACTAAAAATAATTAATCAAAATGTTATTAATACCCTTAATTTAATATCTTAATATATGATTTTTTTTTAGAATGCGTTTTTTTCAAGTACTTACTTTGTTTGAAACAATTTGTTTATATAGTTCTAAATACGATTTATAAATATCACAGCACGAGGGACAATTCTCTTCATAGTCAAAATTACATAAACCACCAATTTCGTCATGGTCAAGTGAGTATTTTAAAATTTTTAAATTATTTGAATCCATAGTTAACGTTCTTATTAAAAAAAAAAAATAATAGTTATAGAAACGCGAATAAAATTCACTACATCACATAGCCAGTCTACTAAAATAATTCTTTGCACAGGTCTAAAACAGAACGCTGCTGAATGTCAATTGGCGGGGGCAGTCACACACGTGATACGAGCGTATAATTATCGAACTACATAACATTCGCGACGTTAAGACTAAATAGTATTTCTCAATTTTAAGTTTTTATTACTTTTCAAATATTGGTTACACGTAAAATAAATCATTTTGATTAATAATAAATCGCAATCACTTAAAATATATTTATCATTAATCCATACTTACAGTTGAATGCCTCCAATACTTAATTAAGTCGTGCAAGTCTGTAAAGGGGCAGTAAAGTAAAAAATCTCTCCATTCTTCAAAGCTAATTTCTAAACTACCATCTTTATCCATCCTAAAGTAAACATAAAAAAAAACATAAGCTAGCTTAATTTATTTTAAAACATTAACCCCGAATTAATTACCTTTTAAGAAGTTTTATAGCTTCAGCGTCGTCAATTTCAATTCCTAATTCTTGAAAAGCTCTTATAAGCTCGTATTGATCAATTTTCCCTAAAGAAATTGAAAATAAATAAACTTAAAAAAAATTATATTGTTAATTCTTAAAAATAAACCGTAAGTATAAAGTGGGTGAAAAATATCCTTTGGTGTCATAATTTAGAAAATGGAGCAAGTTTGTTAAAATATGACACTTCAAAAACCCCAAATTATTGTAATGAGCATTGTAGTTTTTCTTTTGCTTTGATACATTCAAATATCCGCAATGCGCAGTACTAAATACGCAACGCGTGTTATAGTTATCATAAAATTTAAAAATCGAAATTCAATAATTTATTGATTTAACATGTACAGTCGTAACTATCAATAGTATATGTATTATTTATACTTGTAATGTAATTATGTAAGTATTTAAACAATAAATTATTATAGTTTTTACATTAAATAAATTCGTACTAACTTTCAATATTAAATGATAATTATGTAAATTATATTTTGTTCATCTTCTACTTAAACTGCCAATTCAGTATTATATAAATCATAATTTAAAGTTAAATTACACTATACGCCCATAAATATGATTTCTTAATAAGATATATTACAAAACTATACTCAATCAACTGAAATATTAACCGTATCAATTATCACGAGCTTTTCTAATTCGTTCAACTTTACGTGTTTAAAAAGAGCAATTTAAATATAATATAAATGTACTTATGGTTTATACTTATAAAAATGTATTATTTATAAAAACTTCCATGAAATTTTCAACTTGACTACAACAATGTTAATTTAAAACCTATAGTTGATTTTTTAGAAGCTTTCATTATAAGCCATGATATTATAATGACCGTATACTTATTTAGATGGAAGGTTCAGCATGGTAAAATATATTCTACGAAATAAAACGATATTATTATCCATTACATAATATTTTTATATTATTATTTTAAAATATTATATTAATCATCTCAATGACAAATATAATAATACTAGTCGACCTACCTCATTTTTTTATTTTATTATATTCATAAAATATTTGCTATACATCGGTAATACAATTTGAGAATTTAGTGTAAATAGAATATTCGATAATAAACTTAAATCATCTCTACCTATTTTTAATTTCAAATAAACAATAGGTAATCTTAACCTTAAGACATAATCTTATGCCAATACAAATCAATATGGAGGCCGGGTTCTAATAATGTGAAGTATAATAATTATTGAATAATTTAATAAACTCCGTACGTACATATTTAATAAATTGTATTCAACTATTCAAACCCATAGGTTTATTAAGTTAATTCAATTTTGATAAGCTATTAAATAAGTAATCATAATTTAGTCAACTCATAATTAAAACTAGGCGATTTATAATACGGTTTAAGGTAATATTTTCTCAATATATAAGTATTATGCATTATACACTTCGTTACCTATTATATTTACAATGTACAATATTGTTTTATTTTTTGTAATTCAACCAGGAAGTATAAAAACTAGAGTATGAGTGTATGACACTAGGTTGTGGCGTCATTTGAGGAGGGCAAACTGGGCGTCTTTGTTCACGTCTGATTTTAAAAACCGGCCCGTGTTTGCTATTCAGTGAAAAAACATAACTGTTATTATAATTTTGAGGAAATTTAATATTGTTTAGGTACTAACTAGAACATTAAATTATTGTCACGCAATAATCATAATTATTAATTTATATTAATAGTTTTAAGTTAGAAATATAGACATGCGACTGTGTCTATTATACGATTTGGTATAAGAAGTGGTGGGTGTGTGTAGTGTGAAGGAACAAACAAATATTCATTATTATTATACCTGCATGTGTATTGTGTATTTACTATTTTTAAATGCGATGTATAACTGTGTCTGTGTATTCTGCTTCTGTCGAACGGAATGACTCAGATTGCGGATATTATAATAATATAGGTTAATAGGTACACATTTACAAAGATTTGTATGCGGGCATGTACAACAACAATAATATTATAATCCCATACCACTTTTTTGTAACTTTTTTTTGCATTCCAACAACATCAAGTACTATCAACTGCCATAACACAAATTTTAAAAACAAAACAATGAATTTTTTATTTATCCGTGATTTATAAGAAACCTCAGGGCTCTGATAGTATTTTATATTTTTACCTTTCAGTACCATTTTACCAATTAGTATTAAAAGTATTGTTTTTGATTTGTTCGAATTTTCCTCTAAAAAAAAAAAAATTTAAATGACTCCACTGCACCGCGTATTTGAGATGAACATTTTTAATGGCGTTCTCAGAAATAAGTTATGAATTATAAGGGAGGAAAATTAGAAAAACATAAAAAACATTTTTATCAAGTAGGTAATATAAATTTCTACAAAACTGTAATATTTCCTTATTTATTCATAGAAGTATGTAATATACTAATATATGTATCGAACTATTTACTATTATATACAATAAACTATTCAACTCATCTTTTTTTACCAACTTGTGAATAATTTATTTATCTGATTTCTAAATTTCTTTGTCAGTATTAATTAAATTAAATTAAATAAAACGTTGTACATAGGTAGTAAACAGTGTACAAAATCATGGAATAAAAAAAAAATTAACAAAAATAGATTTGTGAACAATTTTACCAATTATACGTTAAAAATTTCAATTTCAAAATTTGCAAAATAAATATTTTGGTTACGCATTATTCATTTCTGAACTACATAATATTTTTAACTTTCGTGTACAACAATCTTTATTGTTTAAAATTTAAATATCTTTATATTTAATCAAGTGATTAATAGTTTACGTCGTAGAATTGTAAATAATAATATTATCACATGAGACAGATTGCAGGCCATTAGGCCAAGATTTATGCAAGTGCAATGTGTGTACTTGCTCCAACAATTTAGATTTCATATTTCAAATATTTTCTGATAAAACAAATATACAAAATACGATTTTTGAAAATATATTTTCCCCTCTTTAATACATTAATATTTTCTTTCATAAATTGTATTGATGAACAAAACCAATGTTTAATAATAGACCAATAGGTAAAATTGATTATTTTATCGCTATACAATCATTGTTGCCTTTACTCAAAAACAGTAATCATAGCTGCAGGTTAATGTAGAGGGCCGTTTGTGTATTAAACGTTTAGCATAGTTTTTAGGGTTCCGTACGGTAAAACGGGACCCTATTACTAAGATTCCGCTGTCCGTCCGTCCTTCTGTCACCAAGGCTGTATCTCATGAACCATAAAAGTTAGAAAGTTGAAATTTTCACAGATTATGTATTGCTGTTGCCACTATAACAACAAATACTAAAAATCCTAGAATATAGATTATAAGAAGTATTGTTATTTTTTGCCAACATGTTTATAGACGATGGTACGGAACCCTTCATGCGCGAGTCCGATTCGCACTTAGCCGGTTTTTTTATTTTAAGAGAGCGTTACCCCGCAAGCATTCTCTCTGACTTACAAACGCAAAAAAATCAAATTGTACGCTCAGTAGATCACGTTTAGCTCTGTTAATTTAAAGATTAGAGTGAATTGACCTGGAATAAAATTTAGAAGTAAAAAATATCATCTAGTGAACCTCATACGTTTTTTTTATATTTTAATTTTAAAACAAGTTATGAGTATTTTAAAATTTTAAAATGTTTTCAAATACTTATAACTTGCTTTAAAATTTAAGTCTAAAAAAAACCTTCGAGGTTCACTAGATAATTATCTAACCTTTACATTTTATAAGAGGAGATTCATTCTAATTTTTAAACTAACAGAGCTAAACGTGATCTGTTGAGCTTACAATTTGTTATGTTATGCGTTTGTAAGACAGAGAGAATGCTTGCGGGTGGAACTCCCTTTAAAATAAAAAAACTGTGCTAAACGTTTATTACACTAACAATTCTACATTTCTACTGAACTTTTTATACTTATTTAAAAATGATTTCTTTGCATTAGTTTTAATTCAAGAAAATTTGGTCATGCTACAGCATACACTAAATTCGGGTGTATAAATTAACTATATAATTGTTTCCATGTTGTTCCATGTTATTTGTCCTAATTTCTTTTAATCGGGCTGTGGGCATATGATTTGGGCACTTGGCACGTAAAAGAGTTTGTATAGAAATTTTTTTTTTTAATTTAGACCCTCATCAGTTCCGTTTGTTTACTTATTACTTATTTTCACTCCCCCTCCAGTATTTAATCCCAATAGTGGACATTTTGGGAGAAAGACGAATTAGCCCTCCCAGTCTTTTAAACACCTTTAAAAACGTTTGAAAAATATATTGTATTATATTGTATATAGAAAAAGAACTAAAATTGTAAATAAATTGACTGAAAATAAAATTTCCTCATTTTCTCTAGTCTGGTTACGTAATTTCGTAAGCGGCAACCACTGCTATTATTTTTAAAATAAATTATGAAGCACCACCGTTAATCGCCACAATTTAGTACTTTACTACACAGATATTGTTTAAAACCTATATTATTATATTAAACAAACAAAACAATATCTTTTATCGTAGGATGCTCGAGTATGCCTGTGCTATAATATACCAAATGTGCGTACAGAAAAATCTATTTTATGTAGTTAGTTTCAATATTATTGTATTTAAATATAAAGAATATTATTAGGTAGTTTTGTATACAATAAAATTATAATATTATCTACTATCAAGTGAATCACGTATAGGATTTATTTGATATTTTAATTTTAAAATGAGTATGGTATTAGCCGTAGCCCGAAGGGATCCCAGATTTATTGTTTTTAAATACGGGCCATTTTAAATCTTGTCATTTACATAGATGTGAAGGGTTGGCGAGGGCGTAGTCCCTCAAAATTCAAGTTATCATCCGACCATGAAAAAGTTTTTTTTTTTACTTTTTAATAGGCACCAATAATTTTTGTATTTGAAAAAATATTGAAATATCGGATATTATTACCTATAGAAGATACTAAGATGTAACAATTAACATTGGTATTAAAAAATTAAATAATATGTGATATTTCTTATACAAATTCTTAGTGAACTAAAATTATATTTGGTTTCGATGTAACATTAATTTTTTTCTTTTTCCTCACATAAAAATAAAAACTCAATATTCAATACTTGAAAGTTATATGAAATATAATTTTTAAAAAAACAGGTAAGGATTTATGATTTAGATATTATCACTCATCAATCATCATTTAAATTTTAAAATAGTACCTAAGAAAAAATTTAATTATTTAAATAATTTAAAAATAAGTTACATTCAGGACAGATGATTCAAAATAATTATTTTTGGGCTTTTGTCAAGACACTGGAACTCTTCACTCAAATCTGGGACAATTCGATAAAATCCGGATCAATGGGGTCCTCAGTCTTTGATTATAAGTCAAAAAATTCACCTATTCCTAGTTACATTGTATTAAAAAAAAAAAAAATGAATTCGACAGAACATACATTTTCTTGAAACTTGTAATATGTTACTATTTGTATAACTTTGGGTAGTTACTATTTAAAATGTTAGATCCCTTACAATTATTGTATGGTATTCAATTTCTGTCTTATGCTTTATAAAAATGTAATTATGAATAATAAATAGTTACACTTTATGGAAGAATAAGTGATATTTATTTAGCGCAACAATCACTTGAAATTTATCAAGTGTTATTAATTTATTAGTGATTATAGCGTAGAATTAGTATAACTGAAATTCTTTTGACATGACTATTTGTATTCTAGTTCTATGCTATATCTAAAATATCTCAAATATCATAATTTATTCCTTTTCTTTTTAAAGAACTTTTGAAATGTATCAATTTAAAATCATAAGACAATATTAGTTTTCAAGTGGAATAAGAAACATTTTAATAATATATACTCCTTTTTAAGAAATATTTTCCTTAATGTATCTGTTAATAAAAACAAAACAAAATGTAAAACCATATTTTAAACATTGTTTTAACTATAAGAAATAAAAATAAAATACACCTAATGAACTTTGTATTAATGTTTAAACTAGAAATTGTCTTAAAAATTGAATTGTTATAAATTAGCTGTTAACTTATAATACAATTGTACATAACTACCATAGTAAATTACAAGAATTTACTATTTTAAGTAGCTATGAAAGAAATTATATGTGACCAAATAATAAAGGACACATTGAAACTATTGGACTACTTTAAATATACCTCATTTAGAACAAACTCATATTATGAAAAATAAAAACCTGGGAAGTTGCTCTGCTCTATTTATAAGTTTTTAGTGTATCTTGTCATTGCTAAATTTGAATTTAATAATAAATCATTACAAAAAACAATTCTAAGTGGAATGAAGTGTTAGACTTGTAATGGAAAATACTTCAAGTCCTGAGATAAATATTTTTGAATCCTGACAATATAACTATAATCATTGTTTTTTGTTACTATCCAATTTTGTCAAAATTAGAACATCAAATGTCTTAAAAAAAATTACGAAAACATATTATGTATTTTTATATTTTTTATCTGCTGTAATAACAACAAATCAGTACCTTTTATAACAATTTCGAAATTAAGATCGGAATAATTTATATCTAATAAAAAAAAAAAAAACAATAAAAATCTATAAATTACAAACTATATATTAAATTATTTTGGGACGTAAAATTTTAAATACAAAAATGAATAGTGTGTATACCATTTATAAGTAACCATAGAACACAATTAACAAATATTAAATATATAGCTATAAATTATTATTTTCACTATACTTTTAATAGCTGTCCCTACCAGTTACTTAAGGTATACTTATTATTAAATACAATTGTAGGTATAAGCAATGTATTATGAATTAAGATAATTTCTATAAAAATTAGATATGATATTACATTTCAACATATAATAATAACTACTAAGCTTTAGGTATAACTAATAAAACTATTTTATATTTGAATATTGGCCAAAATCATACATGTTTAAAAATGCAGATAAAACTTTTTTTTATTAATCTACAGTTTTATTGATATTGACAAGTACGCTCAAATGTAATATTAACATGTTATCCCATAATAAGACATACAATTATACTATAATGATGTATATTCTAAGAGCTTAGGATATTTCCTTTAAATGTCTATCCCCGACATTATTGTTCCAAACAAATTATTATGACAATAAAAATTAGTTATTATAGGTTATAAATTAATTATAATATATTGTAAAAATTATAATAAGAAAATACTTTTAAAAAATATGAAAGTAAACCTATTAACTAAACTAACTTTATATGCAATAACAACAGAAAATAAAATACTAATTGTAACCAATTATTGTAAATGTCATAATAAAAAATACTAATTTACATATCATTCAAAAGAAGGAAGTATATCCAGATACCTGTTATTTTACTAATTGCTCTTATTTTACACATTTTAAATTAAATTATTAAATACAACCTAATCTTTTTTACTCAAAAATGATAATATGATATTATTTAAATCTATTAAATTTACATACTACAAAATATAAGCAACACAAGTATATAATATAATATATTATACTATTGTTAATTATCTTTCAATACATAGTTAACTAAATATTATTTTGCCATTACATTTAAATAGTTAGTGTTTATTAAATTACTTCTTACCATCTTTGTTTTTGTCAATGTTTGAAAAACTTAGCCTTAATGATTTTTCATGTTCTTTAACATAATGTATAAATTCAGCTAATGTAATTGAACCACTTTTAGTAGCATCAGACAGTTCCAAAAACTTCTATAATACAAAAGAAAATGTCAAATTAAATAAGCTAGGTACTTATAATTAAAATAATATTAACTTAAGGTGACCATACATCCTATTTAAAACGGCATTGTCCTTTATTTTGAGCACCATGTCCCCTTGTCCCAACAAACTTCAAATGGGACACTTTTGGTCTCGTTTTAATCCCGTTACCTTCATAATATTTTCATTAAACAAACATTGGGTGCCGATATCAGCGATAGAAATGAGGCTTTCAAATTAACAGGTTAGTGGTACAGGTAATTATGAACACTTACACCAGCACCCTTTCCAACAATATACGTCATCTAACAGGCACATAGGCTGTAATCTTTAAAATATAAAATTATTAAACAGTTTTTGGAGTTCTTTTATATTAGAGTTAAGCCAAAATTGTTTGTCCTGTTTTTTTTTTTTTTTTAATATGGTCACCCTAATTAAATTACATTTCCAAAAATAATTTCCTTACTTGGGCATACTCTTTATCATGCAATGCAATAGACAAATCATGTATGTCGATTTTACCGTTCTTGTCCATGTCGAGCGATTCAAATAATTTAGCCAAACGAAGTTCATCTTCATTAGGAAGCTCATGAAGATAATGAGGAGGCATTACACTTTCAGTGTTATTAGGGCCAACAGGCACATGATGATTAATAGCGTTCACCATGTTAACTTAGCTAAATAAAATGTAACTTCAATTTTATTTCTATACTCAAGCTACCTAAGTAGAATCTTACATAACAAATAAGTCAAAGATACATAATATTTCACGTAGGAAAAATATAAAATTAAACTTTGAAATTTTTAAACAATAAATAATTATCAGAAATTTGACTAGTGTTGTTCTAAATTCTATAGGAAAATTTCAGAAATTTGCGACAACTCCAGTCTCATAAGTCAAAATCATCATTATCAAGACGTATCAATACTGTATCAACTTAATTTTCTTATCAAAGTGGTTACCATATACCACACACAATTAAGGATGTCGATCATCTCCACGATGAATGGCATTCATCGTGTAAAAAGCCCGCCTTTTTAAATTTTAAATGTGTGATAATAATATTACATTAGTTTATTAGAATTAAAAACATTTTACTCACAGGCGACTGGCAACAGCACACCAGCATTGTGTTGTACTGTAGTCTCTGTCTTACAAACGCACAACACTACAACATAGCAAATCGTACGTCTACAATAATCCATTTTACTCTGTTAATTTAAAATTCGAGTGTATTGACCCATGACAAAATTTAAATGTAAGATTATCCAGGGCATCGTGCAGGATTTTATTGATATTATTATTTTTAAGTAAGTTATGACCATTTTGAAACTATAGTAGTAAAATGAATTATTATTTGCGTAAAATGTGCCATGTTGTACCACTTGTACGCCTGTAAGTTGTAATATGTTTTTAATATTTGTTGATTTGGCGGCAATAGTTTAAACTTTTTATAAATTGGTTTTGATTTATAATGCAAATACAGTTTACAATGATTATTTTGGTCATCAATGTAACTTAATGTAGTAGTCATTTTAAACTGATCAAAAATCGTCAGCTTCCTATTAAGTCACGGCCACGAATTAAGATATTTGTTTGTTCATCTTAAAATACTCATAACTCGGTTTAAAATTAAAATAGAATAAAAAGCCTATGTGATTGCCTAGATAATATTCTTACTTCTATATTTGATAATAGGTCAATAGTCAATTCATCTAGTTTTTAAACAAACAAAGTGATCACCTTTAGCGTAAAATTTGCTATGTTACGCACTTGTAAGACGGATAGGTACCACACATGCAAGTGTGGCTTTCCCTTAATAATTCTACATTTTAATAATAGACAATAGTGTACACTTATTTTTAGCTATATCTCTTTCGATGTGGATAGTTGATAATTTTGATATTCTGCTATGTTGATTAATGATTCATCATAATGCTACATCGTACATGTCCAAGATTTTTAATTATTACCTAATACCTATTTATTATTTAAGATAATGATGGAATTTAGGGTGCTAAGCAGGTAAGTACGTTTAGCACCCCTGTGATTTGTGCCAATGCTTGTAATTGGTTTACACACTACAATGTATAAAGTAATTTTTTTTATTAGGTACGATAATAATAATATTTAAGTTCATTGAGCCCCCCCCCCCCCTGAGAATATCCTTGTTTCGAAATCAATAAATGCTTTAGGGGTATGAATAGAATTGAAAAATTCTATGAAAATGTACTTTAATATTTGCAATAATATGCTTTATTGTGCGATTTGAGAGTAAATACACCTATTATCAATATTGTAGAATAGAAGTTAATCTATGTCTGTTTAAAAGTCAACTTTCGATATTTTAATTACCTACTAGACTCAATAATTCAAATTCAAAAAGTAAAATATCACAAGTTTTAAGAGTTAAATATTGGACATTGAAAATAAAATCCCGAAAATCGACTCCTATAGAAACTTCTAGATAAACTTATTCTCTTCAATTTGTGTAATAGGTATTCATACTGTAATGTCACTCAGTAAGCTATATTATTGGAAATACAAAATTCAGTTTCAGCGTTTCACTAAAACTCACATATTTTGTAATTAGTGTGTAAAATGATACGTTGCTGACATATGCGTGCACGTGGGGTGCGCTTCACTATTTATTTTATACACAGTCACTCACACTAATGATTACTCACTAATCACTATGCACACATTTACACGACTCGCATGCATACAAATAGAAAATTGCCTATATTTAACTCCTTAGAAACTGTCGGTATGCATACCCCTAAGTACTATTGGATATAATTTTCTAAAATTTTTAGATGAACTGGAACAAAATAGTTTTTATAAAAAACGACAACTGAAGTTCCAAAACCTGGTTTTCACAATTTTAATACAAACTAGTAGAAGTACAACTCAAGTAAACTATATATTGTCATATTAGTAAGTATAAATTATCAGTATCTAAATAACCAGTTATTTTATAACACTTATTAATTAGTTACATATAAATACATAGTATGTAATTGCTAATTGGTATAAAAATTAAAGATAAATTCCCAAAAATTAATATTTATTCAATGTACAGTATATTATAATATATTTGCAAATTTGTTTAGAAAATTAATAGCAGACATTTTATTTGACCCATATATGTTATTCAATGTCTGAATTTCATATTTAAAAATGTTTAATGCATATTCTATAACTTATTTGTATATAACATTAACAGTTATGTTGTGAACGTATTTCTATAATCGTAACCCCTTTAATTGTATCAAAAAAATAATTATCCAATAATATCAGTTTAACTAGGTAAAATGTATATATTTTATATTAACTGTTCTTTACAGCTAGTATTATCTGATATTTAATCAATAATATAAACAGTAAAAACTAAAAATTGCTTACATCATTGATGGCACAAATTTTACTGTAGAATTATTATTTTTAAAGTTTAATATTGTATTAAGACCTGACCCCCTAAGCCTTAATTATAATATACTATCATCTTAGACGATTCAGAATTTACTATTGACAGCAAAGTTTAAACAGCAGGATCTGGGAAAAGGATGAACATGATATCAAGTCTTTTTATTTTAGGTTTACTCTTCTTTATTAGTAACTGTTGTATCAATATAATGTGCAGTGTGCACCTATATATTTTATGAAAGCTATGCGTGTTTGTTGTGTTTTCGTATCGTGTGTTTTCTAAGTAAGCCGCTTGACACAAACGCCAACTCGCACAAACCACACTCATAGGGCCTTTCACCAGTGTGTAGCCTCATGTGTTCGGTCAGTACATGTGATTGGTTGAACGCATATCCACAAAAGGTGCAAACATATGGCCGATATCCTGTGTGTGTTCTCATGTGTACCGACCGGTTGGCTGAACATGTGAACGTATCGCCACAAACATTGCATGCAAACGGCTTTTGTCCAGTGTGCATCCTATAATGCACAGTTAGAGTGTATATCTTCTTAAATGCCATCTCGCAAATGTCACACACGTGTGGCCGAACCACATCTGCTGGTGTTTTATTTTCAGTTGATTTGTGTCTTTTCTCATGCTCGTTCAAGCTACTTACATGTTTAAAATATTTATCACAAATCCGGCAAACATACGAACCAAGATTGCCTCTTATGCTGTGAACCAAAGTTTCACATTTGTCATCTACGGCTGCAGTGGTAGTTCCAAAAGACTCTCTGCAGACAACCATATCGTCTGTGGTACATTTTTTGCCAATAGTAGCTGCCCCACAACCCGTCCTTTTCACTGGCAACGTCATGGTTTCTACTTGGCTCGCCGTCTAGAAATTATTGGTTTGAAATTGTTAGACATTGTTGGATGCATGGATATAATACCCTTTTATGAATTTATACGGACTCGCATGTCACTTGTATTTGAAATTTTTAATGATTCACATGGCAAACGAATCACTGAGTCCATGCGTCCATTGCTCGTGGAGGTAGCCGTGTGCCCTGTTTTTCTTTTTGGAGACATAATTTCTTTTTGAGCAATCTTCTAGAAATTATACGTTTAAAATTGTAAAATATTACATCACAACACATACAAGGTATTGTACAGACTTGGATGTTATTCGAATTATTTGTATTTGAAACTTTTAATGATTGATAATGCAAGAGGTTTATCATTGCTTTGGACATAGATCCTTTGCTCGTGGAAGTAGTAACTTTTATGGGACGAATACGCCCCATTCCTTTTTTTGATGATGTCATTAGTAATTGACTCGTCTACAAATTATTCGTTTAAAATTATTAAATTTAATATTAACCTAAAATTGCTATAGATATTATACTCACTCAAGTGATACTTGTATTATTCGTGGTCGGGTGTTTGTAACGTTTAATAATTAATGTGGTAGGATATAAAAATCAGTTATAAACTTTTTTTAAATTGCAGCGCACTTCATAATTTAGTTCATGTTTTAGTATTTACAATAGTAGTGAGTGACGAGTGTTCACCATTCGCCATAACCTAGTAAAGTTTTCGTGAAAGCAACAAATAACGAACCATTTGAAGTTTAGTAATTTACTGTAGTAACCGGTAATGTGGTGCTCATATACAAATTGTATAATAAATATAAAAATTAATAACAAAATTAATCAGTAGGTAGCACGATTTAAGATAGTACTATCTTAAATCGTGGATTGACAAAGTACGGGGAATTTTCCATCGTATAATTAACGCCATCTATCTGGGTGTATTATGAATGTACTGTAACCAGACGTCGAGAAATGTCGGGAATCGGGATAGATCTATACCACGATATAAGATATTATAGTAGAAATATTTTAAATCGTGATCTATACATAGGCGGATAGGCGCCAATGCGCCATGTACAGGGGGACTGAGATTTTCAAGTCGGGCCTCGGCCCATCATGGTTCTTATTAAAAAAAAAACAATCATATTATATTATTATTCATATTATTATATTATTATTATATGTGTCACGTACTCACGTACAATTATATTTGAAAGAAAAAATAACTAGGATCCGAAAACCACCTAACCATTTTATTCAAGGAAGTGAATCAAGAATCATATACATTTCCATATTATATGAGATTATTGGTGTTACTCAAAATTCATTAGATCGAAAATTTCAAAAAAATGTTATTGTACATACTACATAATATTCATAATTGGGAAAGAAACTTCACATTAAGACGCATAAGGGCATACCCATAGACCCAGTCACCCAGATAATATCTTCTCTACATCGTGCATAAACCTATAAACTAATGGAGAGCGCTTAGAGAGAAAAGTCATCAGGAGTACGATATAAAGTGAGAGAGAAAAGAAACAAAATAGTAAAATGTATACAGTTCCATAAAGCTTTATGTGGTGCTCCTTCACTACTTTATGTTGTTTCTATCTCAGTTTTATGGTTATGTGATTGCCTATAGCATTGGTGGCAGGGGCGCAGGGCGGAATGGAATGTGCTGTCCATTAGTTAATAGGTCTATGCGTGGGCATACCTTAATACTATATATAGTTAAATTGTATAGATCAGGCTTTGGTAGGGATAACAGATAACAGGTATAATATGCTTTTAGATGTAGAAAAATCACAGTTTAAGATAGAATAAACCGTGAACTGTGAGCCCATCTTAAACCGTGAGCAATATCAAGAGAGGAGCCCATAGCCAATTAAAAATGTTGAAGATGTCGTTATCTTTCAAGCTAATTACAAACTATGATGCACTTTGTAAAATGTTGTAATATTACCGGAGTTGAACAAAATATTACCTACCTATGTATAATGTTTTATGTTATTGATACCACTATACCAGTTTCATCATGTATTAATCATGTACATATGAACGATTTTTTTCTGCCCCTCACAGAATGAAGACATATTATATAAGGTCTACAATGAGATACGAGCAAACACAGTTCAACGGTTGTATGATGTATCTATTATTCGCGTTAATCACGATGAATAAATACATTTAGAATCGAATGCAAAACAGTCTATTGACAATTTTCCAGTGCGGAAAACTACTTGGCTAAATAAAAAATAAAGTGGCACTATTTTAATAATGTTGGTTTATGTGTTGTGATTTTGTATTGTGATGAAAAAATTTTAAATATGATGTATGAAATATGAATACATATATCATAAACATTTAAAAAGCAAATGCTTCTTTTTTTCAGAGATATATGGTGGGAGAGGAGTCGCTTTTATGGCCGTCTCTTATCAGTGGTATTTTAAAAACCTGGCGCATATGAATGATGGATCTATAGATCAGGAACTGGAACCTTGATGATTTATAAGGTTCTGACGTCCGGTTCCTCAGAAGAACTAAAATGTTGGTCCGGTTCCGGTTCCTGTTCGCTTCTCAGAAACCGATTTCGGTTTCTTTTCGGGTCTTAAAAAATAAAAATGTGTTACCTGTTTTGATTTTATACTTAAGTAAAAGGGTTCCGGTATTAAAATTAATTTAAATAAGGGTTCCGGTGAGGTTTCTGTCCCCCGGTGCAACCCATTTGCGCCCATCACACCTTTTTTTATAACCTATTTGCGCCCGAAATCATATCCCATTTGCGCCCGAAAATTTTTTAATAAAAATGCGTTAAAACCGTTCAACGTTGCCAAATTGTATTACTTTATAACTATTGTACATATTATTTACCAGTTTTAACTATTTTTAATTTGTACGTTACACTCTTATCGATATTATCGAATATCGATCCATTTTATCTTAATTGCACTTCATGACGACTCTCATCACTTCTCTCTGTGTGTGGGTTGTGCAACGTTGTGAGTTTCGTGTGTATAAAAATGGATTTTAAAATAATAAATACTACTAAAAACCGTGAATACTTTTAATTTTTTGTAACTTTAAATTCTACTTTAGTAGAAATTTGGTTTCGGGAGATATAAGTTGGCGTTGCGTTAAAAAATTATAGTGCGTATGTAAAAACAAATTGTTCAAAATATAGTTGAGTACAATATTTGAAAAAAATTGCTTATAAATTTAGAGGGATTGATTTATAATTAAATATTTACTATATATAGATTTTTTAATTATGCGTAAAAAACCAGTATTAATTTTTATAATGATTGCATGTACCTACTTAACTATATGTTATATATTTTATTTTATTTTATTTACACCATTTTATGTGAGGTAAATTTGACTACAGTAATTAAAAATTAGTGTGAAATTGTGAAATTAAATATTAAATTAAGTATTTTTTTATTTTTTAAATAAATTATTCAATTTAAGCTGTATTATTTAGATAATTATTATTTAAGTACTATAATCTACTAATCTACTTAATCTAAGTATCTATCAAGATATAAATAATCCATTTTATGAATCACAACGGCAACACTGTATGTAAAATGGGCTATAAATCGGCAGGAAGTACCTTATCTTTCGGGCGCATCTGTCCCCATCCCTCGGGGCGCAAATGTGCTACTCTGGGGCGCAAATGGGCTGTAGCCCTGTCCCCGATGTTTAAAGGGTTCCATTTCCAAAACCGGTTCTTTTCGGAAAGGTTCCGTTCCAGTCCCTGCTGGCTGCTATAGATAGCCATAGCATATTTATAAATAATCAATGTTATTATGTAATATGTATATTAATACTATAATAAGGTAGTTATAGTTTTTAGGTATTCAACGTAAGGATTCCCAAACTAAAATATGGCCAGATTGGAATTTTAACTTATATCATTGGTGATTACTGATTAGTTTGATAAATTCAAAATGTAATATTACCATAAAGTAAAATATATGTAGCCCATATTGCCACATGCATTTTGCTTTGAAAATTAGTTAAAAATAGAAAAATTCGATACAGAAGTGAGCAGGGGCGGAGTGGGAACCAAATCCAGGCCGGGAGTTTAAAATTCATCCAGGCCACCCACCAAAATTTTTTTTCTCTCTAAGCTCGAACTTGGTTTTTCTATTTACCTATTTGAAAACTACTTTTAGTATTATAAAAGTATTTCAATCACTATCTTGCTATTTCTTTTAACTTCTGTCTTCTAACACATTATATTAATATACCACTAAGTACCTACTTATTCCCGAAAGTCTGAAAAATAAAATTAGTAGGTATGGTTTAATAGTTGAAATCAACGAAATATTAATAATTATATTATACATTGTGTTTTAATTGTTTAGGTATAGTAGATATAAGGTAATAAACTAATAAGTAATAGATATATACATACATTGTAAGCAATATATAATAAAAAAGATTTATACATATTACATAATACATTCATAGTAATAATTTAGATAATAGATTAGATTTCTCACTAACTGCATTTATGATAATATTGTTATCTATTTCCATGAGAATTTTATTTTCAATGGCCATAAGCATAAAAGACTCAAGATAATCATTGGTCATTGAATTTCTCATCCTAATTTTTAAATACTTCAATGTTTAAAATGGGTGTTTTATTATAAAAATAACCGACCTATTACAATATTATATTGCTTTGATTTTATTTGATGTCTATATTTATGTGCCAAATATTTTGTAATTTTATATCCAAAGCTTTAATAATTAATTAATTTAAAAAAAAATAATTTAATGGAAACAAACATTTAGCATTAACTAATATTTTGTAAATTAAATTAAATTTAAAAAAAAATCTAACAAAATGGCCAGGCCACCAGGCCATAGTATGGTCCAGGCCATCTGGAAAATTCCCATTTCCAGACCGGCCACTCCACCCCTGGAAGTGAGTACACACCTTTTTAGTGGTCAAATGTAAAGTTATAATTTTATATGATATTCCTGCATTTATTTATATGGAGCTCGCTTACCCGAATACAGTTATTTATCAAAATGTATCGTATTTGAACTGTGTTTATAGTCGTGTCGGTTCAATATCATACAATTAAAAAATATAATAGCCATTAGGTATATATTTTATTTTATTTTGTTATGGGGTCCCCCTAGATAAATTGGTAGTGAGGGTAAACTCATTAACTACATTTGATTGGTTGAAACTTGTTAGTAAAACCAATCTATATTATGTTTAAAAAATAAATGATTTTGATGACCCTTTTTGGTAAATAACGTTCGAGTTTAATTTTACATACCATGCTTTTTTGAATAACTGCAGCATACTTCATTATTAAAATCTATTGTATATCTCTCCATCGTTTTCTGGATTATCTTGTGTCCGGTGTCCATCTTTTGGCTTTCCCAATTGGTGGACCCCTTCTGGCTACCATACACGATGATCC